TGATGGAAAGTGGCCACAAGTTTGAAGGGAGTGGGAAAGGGTATATATGTGGTTTTGGAGGAGGAAGGAAAGGAGGAAATGTAATTAAAACACAATCTCAAAGCCAAACACAAAAGAGAAGATTAGAATATTGTAAATAATTATGCAATCTGAATCCACCTCATCTAAGATTACTGAGTCTTGTGGGGAAAAATTAAGTTGAAATTTTCATTGTGTATAAAGTAACACACAAGTAAAGTGCAGAAAATATTTTGATTAAAAATCATTTGATAAGTATAATCTTTCAGTATTTTTTATTATGAATTATTGTGTAAAACTAAAGTTTTCAAATAAATGTTTTGAATAAGAACTAACTAAATTCATTAAACCCTTAGCAAATACAATTATGTATATCAGCACTTCAGGATACTCCACACAGACCATGATCCATAATAGTGGCAAAATTATAGTAATGAAGTAGTAATAAATATATTTTTTATGGTTTGGGATCACCACATGATGAACTTTATTAAGAGGCCACAGCATTAGGAAGGTTGAGAACCACTGGTCTCCCAAGGTGGTAAGGGTTGGGGAGTAATAGCTGGAATACCAGGTCAGAGTCATCCTCCTAACAGGACATATTGATAACATCATTATCATTGCCATAGACCTTGTTATCATTATATTGTTCTGCTTCTTCCAATGAATTGGTATCAGAACAAGGTTAGATGAACCCCAAGACAGACATGGGATGTTTATTTTATGCTTGGGGAAAACACATGTACACACACACACACACACACACACACACACACACACACTAAGCAGTCCCATACTAAAATTTTAATATAGAAGTTGTAACAAAACTGTTGTATTAGAAATGAGAAATAAATTAAGATTGTTGAAAGTTCAAATAACCTGAATGCATATAAAAATAATATTTAAAAAATTTAGAATAGGACTATGTCATTTTTTTATTCATTATTTTTCTTGGGTTTTAGAGACAGGAATCTCATTGTGGAGCCTTAGTTAAACTAAAATTTACTATGTAGACTAGTTGGGTGTGAAGTCAGAGAGCTCTACCTATCTTTGCTTTCCTTTACCTGCCAGGTGCTGGAATTAAAACTGCGCACCACTTTGCCTGGCTGTGACTGTTCTTTGAGTAGTCTTATCTGTTACTTCTTTGAAATGAAGAATTTTCAGAACATATTTATTAGTTAAATGTGATTTGTTGGTTATACACATAATCAAAAAATATTTTTGTGGGATTATAATTAAAAAATTTCACCCTTTTTCCCTCCCTGTAAATCATCCCATATACCCCTCTTTGCTCTCTTTGAAATTCAAGGGCCCTCACTTTCATTAATCATCATTTTGTGTGTGTGTGTGTGTGTGTGTGTGTGTATGTGTATGCATGCATGGTTGTGTGCATTTGTGTGTGTGTGTGTGTGTGTGTGTGTTTATAAACTTATCAGGATATATGGTGGTACTTGCATGTATGTTTTCAGGGCATACCATTTGGTTTTGGATAACCAAGTGGTATGTTCTTCTCTTGAGAAGACTATTGATCCGACTTTTATCATTGCTTAGTTGTCTGGACATAAGGTCTTGTGAAATTTTACCTATCTATGAGAGCATGATTACTGGTGTTTTCCTTGTTCACATCATGTTTAGGCAGTCACGTTGATAAGACTTTATGGGTATAACTTCTGATATTTCTAGGAGACACAATCTCAGAGTAAACACAGTTTCTCTGGCTCTTGCAATCTTTCTACCCCCTCTCTTTGTAATGATCCCTGAATTTCAGGTGCTGGAATGTTTTGTAGATGTATGAGTTGGGACTGGCATTCACAACTCTGCATTTTAATTGGTTGTGGTTTTCTATAATGATCTCTGTCCTTTTCAAAAAGAATTTTTCTTGATGAGGGAAAGGATTTACCTGGTTATGTGTCAGAAATAAAAGATAAATTCGTGAAACTGGTAAAAATTGTTAGTTAGATGCAGATGTTGAGACACGGAAATAAGAGCATGGTTATAAATTCTACATGAAATGTTAAATCTTTAGTAAAAGAAAATTTTATTTTAGAAAATATTTGCTTGAAAACCGTTTTCAAATTGTAGAGTATGTTCTTGGAATAGATTTTCTTACTTTCTTAGAGCCATTTATTCATTCCTTTATTCAATTAATAAATATAAATGCATGTTGAATATCTTTTATATGTGTTTTTGGATACATTTTTATAAATTTTGGGATGTATGAAATGAAAAATGAGTCAGCAATATGTTAATATGAGAAGACACATGTATGTGGTTATAATCTATATTCTTCATAACATTTTAATGCTCATCACATGTAACATATTTTTCATGTAAAGAAACTTAAATAAATCCTATGCTTTTATTTACTTTTAGTTCACTTATAAATCTCTAATTTTGGGCACTTCTTGGTAACCAATACATCATCAGCCTTACAGTTCCTTTGATTCTGATTCCACTTCTGACACGTGTTAGGATGATAATAGATCTTTAGGTAACTTTTCAGGGTTTGAAAGCTGATTTTGTTGAAAACACTGGTTTTTCACTGAAGTCCATTCCATAACTCCCATCCCAGGTGAGTAACACTGACTATCAGTGGTGAGAGAAAGTAGATAGGTCTGACATGTGTACAGAAAACCTAAGGATAGGTGGGGTGTATACATTCTGACAGAGAGACAACTACGACCACTTCTACAAGAAATGTCAGCACGTTCATTATGTTCCATACAGAGGAGGGGTTGTCTAGTCTTGGTAGGAGGTCTCTGCAAGTGAGCAGTCTCAGGCTGTAAACATCCAGGAAGAGGTAGCTGCAGTTGCTACATCTGTACATACTAGTCACATTGAGACTCCCAAGGAAACCTTTGCCATCCATCTCAGCCTGATTTGGGGAAAACTTTGCTGCTCCTATGGAGCTGAAGCATTAGAATACTTGACCTGACTGTGCCCATGGTCAACAATGCACATTCACTCAGGACTTTACTCACTCAGGGCTTTCTTTCCTCCCTACATGTATGCAGACGTCCACAAAGTGGCTGGAGAACAGTGCAAAGGCTTGCAATATTTGGGGAATCACAGCGAGGAATGGTTTGCTTTATAATTTGATTACTAACGCTTGGTATAGTCAACATATGAAGCTTCTTGTGGGTGAATAATTGAACAAGAAATGCAAGTGTCTTGTAAAGACACCTACATACAACAGTAGCTTATAAATGGCTTAAGACACTTCTGTCTGAGGAAATGCAAGCTGTCACTTTCTCACATGACATGGAAAGAAAACTAACTTCCTACAGAAGGTGCTATTCAGGTGGAACTTAAATGTAGCATTTATTGTTCAGAATCAAAGGAGCAGTGATGGGCTCAAGGAAGGCCTTCAGTGTTCAATGTGCCCTCGATAGACTAGAGATGAGAAGTCCAGCAATCTGCCATCTCAACATTTATTCTACAGGACCTCAACAGCAAGATTGTCTACATTTCTTTTTGTCTTTTTTTTTCCAGACTTCATTTTTAGCTCATGGAAGGAGTCAAGTAAAAGGAAGCTTCTTGTTTTCACATGGATGAAAATATATTTTCTATATTTTTTTTAGTATTTTTTGTAAAATTTTGCTCTTGCTTCCCTGCCATTTTGTCTCCTCATGCCTTTCCAATAAGTGAAAGAAAATTAATCTCATATAGTCTTCTTATAAGTGATTACCTAAGCACATTTACAGAAATGGGTATGGCTGATTATTTAGTCCTAAATCTTTTCTCTGTGTTTTTCCTCAGTTTTTTTTTCAAAATTAATCTTATTTCAAGGAACTGAAGGTGTGGTCAATCATAAACAGTAGAATAACTATGATACATGTTTTTCTGTCATCTTGTTATGTACTGTTAATATTTTATTATTGGACCTTTGTTTATGTATTAGCTATTGAAGAAGAAGGACTCAAAAACACTACTTGTCTCACGTTTTGTGAGGCTGTCTATCTCATGTACCTTGGTGCCTATTAGTAAAAACAACTGAATTGATGTTGGAACAATAGAAGGAAGGTGGATAAAACTATAGATCCTTGGTGTCTATGGAGAAATGTAACTTACAAGGGGAAGAGGAAAAGGAAGACCCTTTCTGTGTATGTAGATTATACATCTTAGTGATTGCTTCCTGGAACTATAAGGATATTCACACATGTTCTCACATGCAGTCACACAATAGTCTTATTTTACACAATGATTGCAATCAATGTTCCATGATTGACATTTGCTAGCATTTTTTAAACAACAAACAGCACCTTAAAATTATCAGAGTGCCATGCATGAGTCACATGAATTATACATTTTTGCATAGTAGAAAAAAGTATGGACTCTGGGTTTAAACGTGTATGGATATTGGCATGTGCATACCTTTGCATAAAATCAAATGATGAATATGTATTTTCTCAGCACTGAGCTTTTAACAAATATGATTTCCAAAGATTATTTTATTGTTGACAGCTTTCTAGAAATGATTTACATACTGTGCATAGGTCTGGAGCATAGCTGGTTAAGGTATTTAAAGACATGTGGTACTAAGGAATTCCTAGGCACAAGTTCAGATTTTTGCTGCCTTATATAGGGGATAGAATTTCTATGTAATTTACCCAATACTCAGTACCAGATTAATACCTAAGAGATCTGAGCAAAATGATGAAAATAAGTATATCTTTATTTGTATATTAGTGCACGAGATCAGCTTTTCCTTCATCAAAATTTGCATTGTCTCTAGCCTGCTGTATATAATGCACACCACGTCTGGATGGAGCTCAGTACAGCTGTCAGGGAAAATACAAGACTTTTATTTTGGAAAGTATGAAGTGATTACCAAGTCCTAGTTGCTCATTTGGTATTAGACTTGAACACTGTTTAAGAGAACATACTATGGGGTTTTGAGAATTGAATATGCACAGCAGTTTTGTAAGATATGTTAATAAATCTTAAGCAGTGACAACATAAATTGGAGCATTAGCTGGAAGATGAGTGGTGTCCTGAAGAACACATTTACAGTCATTCTGAGTGTGGAATTTGTAATTGGCAACTTTGGAAATGTATTCATAGCAGTGGTGAACATCATAGACTTGGTCAAGAGAAGAAAGATCTCTTCAATGGATCAGATCCTCACGGCTCTGGCCATCTCCAGAATTGTGCTGCTGTGGTTAGTATTACTGAATTGGTGTATATCTATGCTTTATCCAGGAGAGTGGATAAATGAAAGAATGGTTGGGATAATACACAGTATCTGGACAGCATCCCACCAGTTTAGTCTCTGGCTTGCTACAAGTCTAAGCATCTTTTGCTTTTTCAAGATAGCAAATTTTTCCAACACTCTTTTCTTTTATATTAAGCTTAGAGTGAAAAAAGCGGTGAGAGTGACATTGTTTGTGTCTTTGTTTCTCTTGTGTTTAAATATTATAGTTATTAATTTACCTGAGAACATCTTGATGACTGAGTATAAGGTAAATGAGTCTTACAACTTGAGTTTGAATAACCTACAACATTCCTCGTTATGGTTTTTATTTGCAAACACCATGTTTGCATTCATACCCTTTGCTGTGTCCCTGGTCACTTTTCTCCTGCTCATCTTCTCCCTGTGGAAACATCTGAGGAAGATGCAGCACAGTGCCCAAGGATGCAGAGACGCCAGCACCACGGCACACATCAGAACCTTGCAAATAATGATCGCCTCTCTCCTTCTGTATGTCCTTTTCTTTCTGTCTCTTCTTGCTAACGTTTGGGGGTCTCTGCTTCTGGAAAAACAGATGCTACTTTTGTTCACACAGTCTTCAAGAGTTGCTTTTCCATCGGTGCACCCCTGTATCCTGATTCTGGGAAATACTAAGCTGAGAAAGGCTTCCCTCTCTGTGCTGCTGTGGCTAAGATGCAGGCAGGAAGACAGGGACCCTGAGGTGCAAAGAACCAGGGCTTATTTGTGTAGATCATCTTGCATACCTTAAAGGAACATTGGATCACAAAATTTTCTGTATTTAAATTTATTCAGCTTCTGAATTTTATAAAAAAATGTATGTTTTCTTTTCAACTTGCAAAAGAGTATTTTGAAGAAATGTTATCTAAGCATTCTACAGTCTTTCTAGAACATATAAAATATGTTAATTTTTAGATACTAAAATTGTATAAATGTAGATCAGTTGAATGCAAGAAATGATTATAGCAAACCTTAATTTTGTACCAGTTAATTCCTTTTAAACATGTCAGAACAAGAAATCTAAATATAGGATATGTATTTATATGTGTTTTCTAAAGTAGAATTTGTAATTTTAGATACTGTGCTGGTTAGTTTTTTTTTTTTGTCACAAGCTTGGATCATCTTGGAAGAACACACTTCAACTGAATAATACCTCCATCAAATTGGGCAATAGGAAATTCAGTGAAGTATTTACTTAATTGATGGTTGATATGTGTAGGCCCAATTCCTATGGGCAGTAGTACCCCTGGAATGGTGGTTCTAGGCTGTCTAAAAAAAATCAAGCTGAGAAAATCATGGAAAACAAGCCAGTAAGCTGTGCTCTTTCATGGCTTTTGAATCACTTTCTGCCTTCATTTCCTGCCCTGCCCTCCCTTCATGATTGACTATAACAATGAGCTGCAATAGATCCTTTCAATTCCAAGTTGCTTTTGGTCATGCTGTCTATCATATCCCTAGAAAGCAAACTAGGACACACTTAAAATGTATTTTTATATAGAAACTGTGAGTAAATATTATAAAAGAATTGACATATAAGTTATGGATTAGTAGAAATAAAATATTCAGTTTATCATTTAAAACATGAGAGTCAACTTAGAAATTGCAAAATTCATTATGGCATCACACACCTATATTTTACTAGGTTTGAAGCAACCAGGTTCTTAGGTAAAGAAATTTAGAGGAAGTTGTAAGTGATCTATGTTAGATAAATGTGAGTGTCTTCTAGGCTTACATATTGTTAGTACTAATTAAATAGTACAGATAAGAGGTAAACAAAATTAGTAAGTGAAGTTATAAAGAAAATAAGACGTTTTAAAATGATTTAAGTGCAAGAGTGATGTGGAGAAGGAAGCATCACATGTGTATGTATGTTCAATGCTGTTTAAATATTTAGGGAGAAGATAGACATATTGAATATTTTAAAAATGAGACTTGTAATTCATCAAATATATAAATTCTTTCAAATTCCTGTTTTCTTTGTTGCTTTGGTATGGTTCTTTCTGTTTTCTCCTTATGCAATGCTTTCATTTGTTTATCTGTTAAAAAACTATAACATGTCAAGAAATGATGTCTATTTTTATTTTTTCTGTCACTGCAGACAGTTAAACAGAAACAGGTGACATAAAATAAAACATGAGTGTTTTAAATATAAATGCTGATTTTTTTATATTAAATTAGTAGATAATCTTTTAGCTCTTATACATGTTTGACTAAGTGACTTTTCATGAGAGGAAACTTAGTTTCTGAGATCTAAAAAAACTTAGAAGGGTCTTAAGTTGCTAGCAGACAGCTTAAGAAAAAAAAAACTTGACAAAGTTGTGGAATGATTTATCTGGGAATGCCCAGCCAACACAATAAATGGAAAGACTGCCAAATTCAGATGAAACATCAAGAGACTGAGTTGATACTTACCTGAAAACTTCCTTTATAAGGGCAAGTTTCACAGTACGAGATACTGCTCTTCTGGCAAAGAGATGCCAACTTGTCTAATAGTCTCAGAAACATGTTCTGGCTGAATATAAGTTTTTCACTATATAATGTGCTGGGACCAATTAAGTCCTCGCCTTCAGCTGCTCTTCCCTGTCTAGAGTCTTCTAATTGAAGTTACTAAAAGCTGTGCCTAGCTTAGAGGATCAGAGGATGGAATTTTCACCTGTTGGCCATTGACTGCAGTGTATTTAAGCCTCCATGGTGCTATTAAAGATGGGCTTTTGGTACCAGTGTTGGAAGGTCTGTGTGTCGGTCAGTCTCTGTGTGTGTATTCTCAACCTCCAGCCCCTTGCCTGAAGCTCACGAACTGGGTTCTAGCTGATAGAGCACAGATGGGAGCCTGCGGTGCGCGGCATTTGGAGGTCCCACCGAAATATCAGGAAAGGGAACACTGAGAGGTCGCCCTCGGAAGGTGAGGGTGGATTGGGGTATGTGTTAATCCTGACGTCCTTCACTTGGTTTCAGCCCGGCAGAAAGAGGTAAGCAAACAGGGTCATTCACAGTGTTGTTCCTGGCCTACAGGGACATATTGAGGAGTTAAGATGGGAGCTGTAGGCAGTATCTTCTCTGCTTTGTTCAGAAAAGAATCAGATGCTAGGGAGGAGTTTGATTATTTAGAGTTTGTGGAGGATAGAGAAGATTCATCAGAAGAAGAGGAAGAGATCATATGTAAGGAAATTAGAAATCTCTTTAGAAAACTGAGAAAACATAAGTAAAAAAAGATTTACACCCAACTCCCTCGGCCCCACCAGCTTATAATTATGAAGTTTGGTGGTCTGAGTTGAGTAGGGGCTCTGGCCCTGAACAAAACAAGGGAGTTTGTTTCCATCCTGTACACATGGTTGCACCAGTGATGGAGGTGCCAGACACCAACAACCTAGGGCAAATAATTCACCAACATTTTGCAATACAATTTAAAGAAATGAAGCAATTAAAGGAAGCTGTTGCTGCATATGGGGCTCAAGCACCCTTCACGTTGGCCACAGTAGAATCTTTCTCTGCTATGAATTTAACACCAAGTGATTGTCAGCAATTATGTTGTGCTGTATTATCTGGGGGAGATTATCTCCTATGGCAAGGGGAATATCAGGAAAATTGTAAGCAAACGGCCCAGTCAAATGCTCTAGCGGGTAAAGCTCAACGTAATTTAGATATGTTAACTGGGGCTGGGACTTATGCTTATTTGCAGCAAAAAATTCTATATGATCCAGGAGTATTCACCCAAATAGCTGCAGCTGCCACTAAAGCTTGGAAGGCCCTACCTAACAAAGTAGCTGGGGATCAATTATCAAAAGTTTTACAAGGACCATCTGAACCATTCCAAGATTATGTAGATAGACTGTTACAATTAGCAGATAGATTGTTTGGAGATGAGAAAACAGCCATGCCTATAATAAAGCAACTTGTATTTGAAAATTCCAATAGATATTGTAAGGAAGCATTACACCCTCACAAAACAAAAAGGTTAAATGAATATATCAGGATATGCAGAGATATAGATGGGAATTTCATTCACGGCCAGGTTATAGCAGCAGCTATTCAACTTTGGAGAAACAAGAGGACTGGGAGAGAAGGCCGGAGGCTGTAATTGTTTTAATTGTGGAACTCCTGGTCATTTTCGAAAGAAATGCCCACAGCTGATAATGAGGGAAGGAGGAAACCTGGCATGGGGCCTAGATGCAGAAGGGGAGCACATTGGGCTAATAAATGCCGCTCCAAAACAGATATAGATGGGAAACCCTTGCCACCTATCATTAATCAATGGCAGGGAAACTGGCAGAGGGCCCTGCTCCAGGGCTGTAAAACCTCAGTGTATGGAGCAATAACCGTGGGACTACAGGGACAGTACCCCAGCAGTGGCTGTGTCCAGTTCCAAAGACCTTATTACAGGACAATGGAAGGAGCCTATGCCCCTATTGGATAGGGTGAAAGGAACTGTTTGTGTTTTTCTTCCAGGAATGGACAAGCCCATTTGGGTACCAGAGCGATTTGTTCAGGCTGTGGAAAATGATGAGAAAGGATCCCGTGATGAGCCTGAGAATAACACCTGTCATTCTCTTGATGAGCCTCCTGGTGAGTCCCAATCAAGCAGAAAGCACTGTGTGAAGCCTGGTAAGGAACCACCTTGTATTGATCAGTGAGCCAAGTTAGTTCTTTGTATTTATCTTTTTAATTCTCAAACTGCACTGCTGGAACTGCTTTAAGCAATATGGTGATAAGACAGGCTTCTATTTAATCAGACCTTTTCCTTTGTGAATGCTCTATGTTTTGTTACATATTTTGGGCTATGAATATTACTTTAAAGGAATCCTATACAAGTGAGTGTAGTTCTTATCTTTCTTTTTTGGAATATTTCTCTGAAAGCTCAGGCACTATTAAATCCCTTGTTTGTTTTAGTTTTCTTTCTTTTTTTCTTTTCCTTTTTGAAGTATGGAATAGCACCTTTGAGGGAAAAGATATTCTTGGTTTTTCTTTCAGAAACGGTGGCCTGAACGACTGCTGGGATGACCACTCCAGTGCTGCCTTGGTGGTTCGGGTACCAGCCATCATACCACTGCCAATTACCAAAAAGGCTAAGCAGACTGAAGATGACCCTGTATAGAGAGCAACGAGATTCTGGAGAGACAGCTGCAGTGGTTGCTGTCATTGCGGTGTCTGCTTCTGCAGCCATGGTCGCAGGACTGGCAATGGCACAAACATCGTTGTTGTCGGACACCATGGATAAACTGGCGAGACAAGTCAATGATGCTCTCCAGACTCAGAATATCCTGAATGTCCACATTAAATTTGGACTTTCTAATTTAAATCAAGAGACTGCTCTATTGTAGAAGCAGGTGGACTTATGGGCTAGTACAACAAATGTCTTGTTCACACTTTTATCATTCCATTTGTGTGACATCTGTTAATATTGCTAATGCCTCTTATGTGGTGAAACAACTCAATGGTTACTTGAATAGCCCTTGAAATATTACAATTAGCACACCAGATTGTAACTGTTTTAGCCAAATAACAGAGGAAGGTCATTGGTTAATTAATAAAGAAACTGCTTGGCCCTGGTAGGTTAGAACATAGGTGGGTGGAGTAAACAGAACAGAATGCTGGGAGGAAGAGAAAGTGAGGTAAGATGCCTCAGACAGATGGAATGAAGCAAGCTGCCAGGTCAGACAGGCTGAATCTTTCCTGGTAACACTGGTGCTACACAGATTATTAAAGATGGGTTGTTCGGGATATGAGAATTAGCCAGTAAAGGCTAGAGCTAATGGGCCAAGCAGTGTTTAAAAGAATACAGTTTGTGTGTTGTTATTTTGGGGCATAAGCTAGCCAGCCAGCTGGGAGCTGGGTGGCAGGAACGCAGCCCGTAACTCCTTACTACAGCCAAAGGGTTGGTAGAATACCATAGCCCAAAGGAGAGGCTGGATCCAGTAGTAACAGGGGACCCTATTGCTGGCAATCTTAATGCCTGTTGCCAAGGGCATTCATCTCTGAATTCTGTGTAAGATCAGACAACCCATGAGAATGCAGCATATGGTCACTTAGCAAGTCCTTCTGAGCCTGTTTGCCAGTAACTTGAATGTACTCCAGGTTTGGTTGCAAATACTACGCCAACAATGAAGACTTCTCTGTAGACGGGCAGCTTCTACAGAAGAGGACCCACCTAGGACAGGGAAGGGGCCTCCCAAAGAGAGGTAAGAGTTTACTCTTCTGAGATGACTTAAGACAAGAGGGTCTTCTGTTTTATAAAAAAAAATTAGGGGGGAGGAGATCTTGGGACCAATTAAGTCCTGGCCTTCAGCTTCTCTTCCCTGTCTAGAGTCTTCTAATTGAAGTTACTAGAAGCTGTGCCTAGCTTAGAGGACCAGAGGATGGGATTTTCACCTGTTGACCATTGACAGCAGTATTTAAGCCTCCATGGTGCTATTAAAGATGGGTTTTTGGTACCAGTGTTGGAAGGTCTGTGTCTCTGTGTGTGTATTCTCAACCTCCAGCCCCTTGCCTGAAGTTCACTAACTGGGTTCTAGCGCATAGAGCACAGACAGGGGCTTTGGTGCACGGCAAAATGAAATGCAGACCTCACACCATTGTTAGGCCAAGAACCTGAGGCTATACAGGCCATAGAATCCATAGGAGAACCAAGGACTCTGATTCTGCTAAATTGGTAAATGGACATGGTAATAAAACGGCTCCTTGTGATTATATTTACAGATTAATGCATCTCTCAACCCCCATTTATGAAGCCTCTGTTTGTAATAGATGACAATTAACACAGAGGCCTACACCTGGTCAAGGAGGAAAGAATAAAAGTCTGTAGGATGCTCAGCCCTAAATGAGACAGCTCTACCACATGCCCTTCTCATAATGCTCAGGGATCATTGCAGTGGTTGAGGAAGGAAGATGTAAGAGCCAGAGGAAGTGGATGGCTTCAAGGAAACTGTTTTCTGGACACTGTAGGGCAGATGCTATGAATTTATAGTAGCTGTGATAATGGATACAAGACCCATGTAAGCTCAAAGTAGAACAAATTCCAGCATGGAGAGGGGAGGAATGAATGGAGGCCCACAGCCAAATCAAGGATCCTTGGCAACCATTGCTTGTGGGGAGATGGACATTCTCTTAAAGGAATATAGCCTCTTATGAACCAACCACAAGCCAGTGGCAGACCTTATATTCAAGGATATATGAGTACACAAATTGTGCTTAGCAAAGGTTGAAAACATAAAAGGAGACATAAAACGTGTGGGTAGAGAAGTGGGAGGCTGAATCTGGGTAGAGTTATGGAAGAGGGTGAATGTAGATTCTTACTTTATGATATTTTCAAAGATCTAGTGAAATTTACAAAATGAACAAATATGTAAAATTTAGTTTTAAAAATAAAGGACCAAAATAAATGGATCAAATTATTACAATTTAACAAAGTATTAGCTCAATAACCAACAAAAATTTAATTATTTCACAAGTTCACAGAATAGGCTACATCATCCCAAATGATACATGCAAGTAACATTGTATAGACTGAACAGTTTATATTTAGGAATATATATGTATATGCCTATACATATATGCATACAGTAATAACTAGTGAAAAAGGTCATGAATTTTAAGGAGAACTAACAAGCGTATATGGTAGGGTTTGGAGGGAGTAAAGGGAATGGAATTATAGAATAAAAGAGAGATAAAACTTGTCAATGATATTTTAATAAACTTTATAAATAAAGAATTCTTTACTAGTAAAGAATACACAACAATTTCAAAGAAGAATGTACTTTTGTATAGGCTACTACTGAGTACAAAAGGTCTTGTTCTAGCTAATAGATTTATTGTTTTACATTATATGTTCTTTGTCAAAATTAAATCTTTCATTAATAAAATATAAATAATAAGAATATTTAATGAATTTGGAACATAAATGATACTTAACCATTGGTAAAATCAAATCAAGACTACATATTTCAACCAATTCTCAAACTACAGCTGAACTTAACTGATATTTGAAAATTTCAGTGAAATATGGAACATTCACATTTGTTAATGCATTTAGTAAAAAAATAGAAGGCAAGTGAGTAAAATGATTTTATTTGATGGAAATGGTTGGAAACTAACCTTTAAAAATAGAAATTATGGAGAAGAAAATGCTTAAGTATGCTATATGCAGAATACTAGGCAATGTTGTCCATGTTTAATTATGAAAAAAACATCACTTTGAGGAAAAAAGAAATTAAAATATACCATAAGCACTTCATCCTGCATTTCATAGCTAGAAAATGGCAAATATTAATAAGATTGTTAAAAGTGTTAACCAGATATCCTACCTCCCATTTTTAGCTAAATTATAATTGAATAGACAATGATCATTTGGTATGTCAAAGTATTGGTTTCATTATTGTCAATGGGCACAAAAATATATGAACACTAAAGTACTTGTGAAATGACGTAGTGTATGCATATTAGGATGGATAACATCCATTTTCAGCTTAATGAGATTAATAAACACCTTGCTCCTCACTGAGGCTTAATTTCTAAAATGTTTGTGAAGGCTTTTAAGAGAGAATAACCTGAAGTCAAAGGACTAACACTAAATGTTGCTACCACCATTCCACAAAATGAATTCCTGGGTGAAAGAAATAGAAAGAGGGGGAGAGCAGAAAACCACCTGAGCATGTTCATTTTTTTTCTCTGCTTTCTATTCTAAAAAGATAGAACAAGCAGTCATGTTTCTGTTGTTATTAAATGATCCATTCCTATCACCATGGTTTCACCACTAGAATGACCTATACCCTCACACTGCAAGTTAAAACAAGACTTTAATTTCTCTAGTAGGCTTATGTCAGTAATATTGTCAAAGCAATAAAAACATTACTAATGTAGAAATTTTATGGTGCTGAGAAATGGAGCTGTTTCTGTTAGAAAACTGATCATGTGGTGTCCATGACTTTGGAATAGTTTGTAGAAAAAAATACAGAAAGGTTTGTTACTTTTCAGATATCACAGTTATTGACTGTTCATATAAGAATTCAGGAACCAGAATGTTCATAGAAATCATGACCATGGATTCAATGCACATGACCCTCACATGGATTCTGTTGAGAACTGCACAGCCAGTGAGTAGCAGGTGTTGTAAGGATGGTTGCTTATTCATTTTCTGGTTGACCAGACTCCCAAAATAAACACACAGAAAGTATATTATTTAAATCTCTGATTGTACCATTATCTCTAGCTTTGTAGAAGGAGCTGCAGGCAGGCCTGCTTTTTGTCCTGCCTGGCTCCAGCATGGCTAGCTTTACACCCGAAATAACAACACACAAACCGTATTCATATAAACACTGCTTGACCCATTAGTTCTAGCCTCTTAATGGCTAATTCTCACATCTTGCCTAACCCATATTTAGTAATCTGTGTAGCACCAGTCTTGCTGGGAAAGATTCAGCATGTCTGACCTGGCAGCTTGCTTCATTGCATCTGCCCTGGAGAGGAAACGCATGGCATCTGCCTAACTTCCTCTTCCTCACAGCATTCTGTTCTGTTTACTCCACCCACCTATGTCCTAACCTATCAGGCCAAGCAGTTTCTTTATTAATTAACCAATGAAAGCATTTGCTTATGTTGCATTTATTTAATGATGTAAATAAGTGTTGCTTTGCCTGACTAAGGTACCTGATTGGTCTAATAAAGAGCTGCACAGTCAATAGTTAGGCATCAGAGAGATAGGAGGGCTGGTGGGCAGATAAAATAAGAAGGAGGGGAAATCTAGGCTCAAGAAAAAAGGGAAAAGAGTAAGTTAGAGAGCAAGGAAGATGCCTGGGGTCAACCAGCCTGGCAACTGCCATACAGACAAACATAAAGTAGGACATACAGAATAAAAGCAAAAAATTCTCAAGGCAAAATGTAGGTGAAGAGACATTAAATAAAAATTATAAGAGCTAGTGGGACAAGCATAAACTAAGGCCAAGCATTATAAATAACACTAATTATCCATTTCTTTATTTGGGAATTGGTTGGTGGCCCGAAAGAACGCCTGCTTGATGTGGGATTTCCCTCTGTATGCTGTGAATACCATTGATTAATAAAGAATTGTCTTAGGTCTGCACAGGGAATAGAAGTAGATGG